ACCCTCATTGGGACAACCAAAAGGTAGCCATGGCTGCTTAATAGAGGTGTCCAGTTAATGGGGGTTTGATTTACAGTATTTTACTGGCAATAATTTCAGGACTTTGATAACTGGCAGCTTATTGTGATAGGTGGCTGCTTAATAGAGGTTTGACTGTAATATGACTTTTGAATTCAATGCAGTTACTTTTCCTGAATAGGGGAGTACTGATATGAGATTGGAAGGAAACCCGATAATCACAAGTACTAGGTACTCATACTCAGATCTCAAGGTTTATCGTCCACATATGGTCAGTTTAAAATGCAGACTGCAGGCTGCAGACTGTGGACTGGGGCTAAAATGCAGACTGAGGATAAATTAAATCTGACTGCAGACCAGGGGTAAAATGGAGACTACAGACTGCAGAATTTTTAAGTACGGGCATATATCATGTCATTTCCGTTATCGAGTGCTTACCATAAACGGCTTGAATCGCAGTAAAAGTCTATACTCCAGTTAGCCTGAATATCACTCTAGTTAGACTGAATATATATATCGCCCACATCAATCAGGTTAGCCTGAATAATGCTTCAGCTAGCCTGTTTATGGTTAGCTATGGATGATAGAACTGAAGATGTGATTGATCATCACAGTTACACAGTAACTTAAGCAGTTTTAAAATTAAAGACCGAAAAAAAAAAATTCAGGCCTGAACGTGATTCGAACCCATGACCTCTGCGATACCGTTGTAGTGCTCTTACTACCAACTGAGCTATCAAGCCAACTGGGAGCTGGTCACATTGTGAGTTCGTAATATACCAATAGATGGTGAAGAATACAAGTACATAGCACTGCACTGGTATTGCTGAGGTCATGGGTTTGAATCCTGTTCAGGCCTGAATTTTTTTTTCCGGCTTAAATTTCACAACTGCTTAAAATACGTTCTGTGTGTAACTGCAATGATTAATCATAGTTATCTTCACATCTTTCTCCGCAGTTCAAAAATACATCATCTTTCATATATTCACTTGTAATGATAGCACTGGTGACATAATTCAGTTAAATAGTTTACAGTCTGCATTCTGCATTTTACCCCTTCTCTGCAGTCTGCATTTTATCTATGGTCTGCAGTCTGCAGTTCACAGTCGGCATTTTACATTACCCGATTACATTCCATGCTGTGGGGTAGTGAAGTTCTATTGAATGCCTTATGGATTTTATGTTGCGTAACTGTAATGATTTGATTTAATGCCCTCCTTCCAGTAAGCACCCTCTGTCTAATAAGTGCTCTCCTTTGAGTGTCATTTTTAATAAGTAACCCTATTTCAATAAGTGCCTTTTTACAAGCTAAAAGCTGCCATAGTGAAAGTAATATTCAAGACATTGCCATATGCTGTTTTGATGAATGAATTATGAAATCTAATATATTCCATTAGAAGTGAACTAGTTCAAGTCAAAAGAAAAAGTAGTAGACAATAATTATTGCACTGTTACTATTAACTACAATGACACTGTTATTCTACAGCTTTAGAATGATAAAAATAAAATTCAGTATGGCATTCTTGATTTCAGATCAATACTGTTTGCAGCAAGTTTGATAGAAGTGGAGGAAGACAATGTATACCCTCTTGAAGTAAGTAATTTTAAAATAATTCTGTTTAATTGTAGCCTCTTTAATGCTCTTTGATGCCATAAACCTTGCTGGAATAGTGAGGTCAACATGACAAGGCCAAGGTTTGAGATTTTCCCGTAAAGACAACACCTTTGAGGTTAACAAGTTGTTTATTGTATCCATGGCCTTTTGCTTTTTTTGCAAACCTGGAATCAGCCTGTTGACATTACTAGAATGAGCCAATTAGGTAATAGGTGAAGGATGCAGATAAGCCAAGAGGCCAATCAGGCGGGAGCTTATCCCGGTTACTGTAGCATAAAGCAAAAAGGAATATTTCTACTGTTACCTGGATGGGATGCTAGTCCATCACACAGTTATCCCCAGCATTAAATTCGCTGCTACCCATTTTTACACCTGGGTGGAGAGAGGCACTTCACTAGCCAATCAGAGTGTGTGTTATATTGGCTACAAACACAAGCCACATAAAAATTGGTTATAGGAAACTAGCTCCTAACTTCCTGCATCTTCCCATGTCTTCTCCTCCCTCCTTTATGACATCCCATATTCTTTTCCCCCAATATAAACCTTACAACAGTGAATCACAGCATGAAGTCTTAGCAAGAAGCAGGGTTTGTTTGTCATGTAGGATCAGAGGGATTCTTATTTGCTGGAACAGACAGTGTTGATTGCCTGCTAAAATTTTGTTGCAGATGAAATCTAAGCTTAAGTTAAACAGCACAGTACGTGTGTAGTTAAAAACAAACCATGCAAATGACT